CGGAGAAAAAAAAAAAAAAAGGGAGTTTCAAAGGGGCCGGGGACATTAGCAGGCCCCGGCCGTGCGCGCTGCCCTCCCCCGGAGCCTCCCGCCCCCCAGCCCGCCACGGGCATATGCGGCAGGTCCGGGCGGGGGCAGCATGGAGCGGGCAGGGGCCAGGTGGGCGGCGCGGGCCAAATCCCCGCTGCTGCTGGGGAGCCCCGTGCCTCTCCCTCCTGCTCGCGGCTGCGGCTCCTTCCCGGCGGGACTCACCGCCCGCCGCCCCGGCCACATGCGGCGCGCGTCCCCCGCACCTAGTCTCCCTCCTGCTGGGAAGGAGCCGCTGGATGCGCGCCGCATGTGCCCGGGGCGGGCTGGAGGGCGCGTCCCGCCGGGAAGGAGCTGCAGCCGCGAGCGGGAGGGAGAGGCGTGGGGCTCCCTGTCAGCAGCGGGGATTTGGCCCATGCTCCTGCGCCGCCCACCCGGCCCCTGCCCGCTCCGCGCTGCCCCCACCCAGACCCACCGTGCTGTCTCCAAGCTGCGCTCCCGCCGCTCCCGTGTGCAGCGGCCCGGGCAGGAGCCCTCTGGCGCGGCGGGGGGCTGAGCCCCCCCGTCTCCCTCCCTTGCCAGCCCCCCTTTGCCCGCCCAGTGCCTGGGTGCTGGAGCTGACTCACCAGCTCCAGGATCCAGGCACCTCCGCCACCCCCTCCCTCCAGGCTTGCGCCGCCATGCAGCTGCAAGCCTGGGAGGGAGGAGGAATGCTGCGTGGTTGCAGAAGAGGCGGGGCCAGGGTGGGGATTTGGGGAGGGAGCCAATGGGGGAAGGAAGGGGCGGAGCTGGGGCGGCGGGCGGGGGCGAGAGTCCCTCTGGGAGGGCAAAATTTCTTGTTTGTCCAGTGTCCCGACCAAACATTGGTCGGCACGCGGGACAAAGAAGCAAATATCGGGACAGTCCCGATAAAATCGGGACGTCTGGTCACCCTAGGAGGAGGAGAGAGACAGATAGACAGACAGAGACTGTGTGAGCTGGCTGCTGGGGAAGTCTCAGAAACCGTGCACTGTCTCTTTAAGAAAGGCACTCACTCACCCACCGTTCAGACCTCAGACCACAGCAGCTCTGAGTTCTCCTGAGCCAGGCTGTCCCCTTTCCCCTGCTCTGCAGAGACGGGATACAGGGGCAGGGGGAGGGTTGTCAAGACTCTACCACAGTCTACTCAGTCCCGCCAACTGAGCATGGACAAGCCTGATCCAGGGGAAGGAATTTCAGGTAAGTGTGTGCATGCTTTTTTTTTTTTTAATAGTGCTAAACGTGAAGGTGGGCCCTGGTTCAACCCCAAGTTAGCAGGACTCAGATACTTACTTTTCATTGTTTTACTTGTATGAGAAGTGGTAGAGGTACAACAACAGAGTTAGTTATCTGCTTTTCATTCCCCTGTAGGGTTAGGTGGGGATGGGACTGCAGAGCAGTTTGTTCATGTACATAGTAATGTCCCTTGTATCCTCCTGAGAGATCTCGATGAAACTTTTAGGGAGGATTCAGAGGGATGTTAGCCTTATTTGTTCCTCTGTGGTAGCACGATTTTCCATGCCAGTCTGTAATGACTTTGGCAGGCATCTTTGCAGTAAACAGGCTAGTGGCATATGGGCCTGGATGGCTTCAGGACACCACCAGCAGCTGTGTTCTCTGTGCCTTTGTTACCCTTGAGACTGAGATATCAGCTAAAATCACCACAGCCTGTGGAAAACAGTGCCAATATTTAGAGCCATTGCCATGTACTCATACTCATGGAAATAGGGGCTTAAGTTTATTGTTTTATGCAACTGAACAGTTCCCTCCTTATCCCTCCCACACTCCGGCAGGCCATACACATCATGGCGGTGGCTGGAGAGTGTTGCTGTACAGACGTGTCTTGCTTCAAACTCTTATGGGAATAAGGGAAGGGAATTCTGAAACTTAACTTTTGCTTTTTATTGGGACTGTGAATACAATGATACATCTGTCTGTTTTATCTGTACTTGCTGCTGTTGTGGCCTTGAGGAGTGCCCTCACCACACCTGTGGAACTGCCTAACCCTGATGAGAAGAAAGAACTGTGGTGGGCGGGGTAGGGAGGACATGTTCCCTGAGATCCTACAAGACAGTGCTGCACTAGACCATGAACAGGGGGCCTGGAAGATGAATAGAGGAGACAGCCCTGAGAAAGAAAAAGTGGAGAGGAGAAAGGCACAGAAGTCCCAGCAGGAAAAGGAGAGGAAGATGCACCAGGACATAATGGGGCTTCTCAGGCAGCAAACTCAAGTGCTGCACTCTTGTTGATGTACAGGTCCAACAGTTGTGGGCTCGCCTCCCTCTGCAATCAATGGAGAACTCCATTTCAGCAGCTCTCTATACTCCCTAACATTCCACATGGCATCATGGACCACATCCTTACCGTTACCGCTCCACACTGGGGGACAGTAAGGGAACCACAGCTTCACATACACCGACTTGTGAGAGCCCTGGCTGGTGTATGTTTGGCAGAAATGGATTTAAATGGACAGTACCGTTCTACTTTTCAAGTTCTGTTCTCTTAATTGATTTTATAAGTTTGCACTACACTGGTTTTTAATTGCACATTATTGTTTTGCACTGTTTTTGTGGGCAATAAATGTTTATATTTTGGAAAAAAATAATCTTTATTACTCCATAACATATACTACAGAATGCCTAGTGCTACTCAAAGCACATCTTACTTGTAATACAACACCACCACAGAACTCATTAGTGCAGTTAAAACCACAGTGTAATAATTACGAATGTATAGGAAGCACTGCATAATTCATAGGTTCATTAAAAGACTGTGTGATATTCATAAATATACACCAAGCACTACATAATTCCTAACAACTCCCAAAATGTCAGGGCCAGACAGATCACTGTCCAGCACAGCACATTACTGTGGGTGACCTTTAAAGTGCTCTT